ACATGTTTTCATGAAGGCAGGTGTTCGGGTTTTGATGATGTTGTTCACCTCGAGCTCGACAAGGCAAGGACGTCATGTGCTTTGGCACCGTTGCCATCCAAGCTGTGAAAAAAAAAATCAAGATTTTCCTCTGAAAATACAGAAAATTCACGTTTTCCTACGAAAATATTGAAAATTTGCGAAAAATAAAGAAAATGCAGGTTTTCTTCTTAAAATAATAAGAAAATGTAGTATTTCCTAGTAAAATACAGAACTAAGCCCCAAACCTTTAAAAACAAAAGTTCCAAAAACAAAAAACTACCAAAACAATTCCTGGCCCATTCTCCGAACCCCGAACCCCCGAAGGCCCCCCTCCATAACAGGTCGGGTTCCCTCATAATTGTTCTACAAGGCTCTATCCTTGGCCCTAATCAGGCTGGCAGACCTTGCCCGCTGGCCGGTCGAGACAGAGGCGCTAGCGCTCACAGCGGCGGGCAAGGAGGCGGAGTTCACGTCACGAAAACGTTCCGGTTGATAGGACCTGATAGGAATTGGGGTAAGGGCTCGCCAAGAACGGAATCAGACTCCCGTTTCCGCTGCCTTGAGTCCTTGCTGTGTTGTTGCGTCAGCTCCGCTGCGAAGCTATCGTAAACGTTGCAAACACCCTAGCTTTGAAGGCAGAAGCTCACGAATCCGAGCTAACTCTCGAGGTCCTGGCCCTGCGCCTGGGCAACCAGTCTGCGCAACACAGGGCGTGCATCGTGGCAGCGGAGCTCAGTCTTCACAAGCGGCCCAAGAATTGAGCTGCAAAAGGGGCCCTTTTTGTATTGGACATCAGAGAAGTGTCGGCACTCACAGCGACACCCTGACCATCACTTTTTGGTTGCACCACAGAAGCGAAATCCCAGGCCAGAGCCCACCCTGGCGAGACGCATGCTTCCTGGGTGATGCGGGGCGCCGCGGCCTTGGCAGGGAGCCAGACAGTACGCCGTACGCATGGGTGTCGTTTGTTGGGTTGAAGGCTTAACAAAACCAATTCCGGAGACTTTGGGGTTTGCATGTTCAGGCCTCACGAAGCTTTTTTGAACCTGCTCGAAGAAGCTTCGAGCATTTTTGGCCCCACCTCGACCTCTGAGCTGCTCTCCTCCTGGCAGGTGATGGAATTCCTGATGGGCGACCCTGAGGTGCAGTGCTTGTATTTCTACAATAAATAAATCTGGAGACAGCAAGCAAGGGACTTCTAGTGACTGCTACTGGTAGTGTGTATAACCATGTATTTATGTTTGATAGAGAAGAAGCCGGTGACGGTCATAGTGTCAACTCGCCGTCGTCATCGCCAGAATGAGGCCAGATTGCCAATTGCAGCTGCTGCTCCTGCCCCCTAGTGCTTTTGCTTTTGCTGCGGCTTTGGGTAACTATTTCGTGGGCAAAATTCTCGCGAATACCATGCGACATGGTTGTGGGAAGGTCCAGCAGTGTGGTTTTGGAAACAGTGGCATGCTTAAGGAGTGGCATGAAAACACTTGGCGAAACTACCCGGACGAATCAAGCCAACATAAAGAAGCGCAGTGGGCAATTCCGGAAGCACCGGTCGCAGTTGCGATCGCAGTAGTTTGTAGGCGGGCCTCGGCCGTGGCAGGCACAAAGCTGCCTCGATCAGCTTGCATGGCTCCTTGTGCCAATGCCACCGACTCGGCTTATCTGGATAGCTTGCAGTCAGATCTGTGTTGGCAATTGCGAAGGGATGGAGGGTACCAAAGAGAAATACCCTGATGCCTGAACGATTCGAGGCTGAACCCTGATGGGGTTATGGCGGGTCGCACGAGGACGAATTTGGACGCGGTGGACCTCAACAGGCTTCGGCCCTCGCTTCTGTTTGCGAAGACTTTCTTAAACATTCGTCGGGCCTGGTGCCGCTGCGGCTCGTCCAAGTGAGATCTTTCAAAGTGGTGTTGTGTGGAAAGTCGCGAAGCAGGATGCGATGCCGCCCCTCAGGGAAAAGGGGGTAGACGAGCTTCTGGGAAGAGTGATGTTGTTGTTCTGAAGATTGTGATTGCAACAAGTGTTCTTCCCATCACCTCGAGTTGTTCGTCTTATGGACACTGTTACCCGAACTACCATCGCACAGGCTCTCACTGACATGGGTGCTGCGACCACTCTTCGGGATCATTCTTATTACAACAGCCTCCAATTATGACCTTAAGCCAACTTAGGCCGGATTTTCTGGGAGCTTGTCGCGAGGCATCACCATGACGACAGCGCCCCCGAGACGAAGGGGCTGAAGAGCGCACTCCAGGCCCTGCAGTCATCAGAGTTCCAGAGATCAGTTCATCTCATAGTCATAGCAGGTCATTAGCGATCAGCATGCGTTTTATCTAAACCCTGAACCCTAAGCGGCCCTAAATCCTCCGATGCCTATCAGGCCGAGGCCCAGGAGGGGGAGCTGCTGGCTTTCATTGACATCCACAGTCACTCCAGGTGCCCTTTGCGTGGGCTCAACGTTTCTAGATGTTTAGGGCTTTTTGGGGTCGCTGGCAGGGTTCTGAATCATGCTCCCGGAACATGCCCAGCTCTTGTTACTTGAGGCGGCGTGGAATCTTTGCCATCGCAAACGCCACCGATGGAGACCGCCTTGTGTCGCTGATGGCCTCGAGGCCTGCATCTGTTTTGCTGAAGCGCAGTTGTGCCTTCTGCGAACCCCAGGACACATCTCCTGGATGCCGCTGGAACTAGCCGCTCGGAGATCCGTGCGCAGGACGTGGGCCTGAGCCCGCTTGAGCAGCACGGGCAGGACTAGTCATGGCTGACTTGACCATCAGTTCGCCAGTGCCTGTCGTTTGATATCTGGCAAACTTCGTGCAATTCCGGAGCCAGGCTGGTGTTGGCCGCGTAGCGGCTGCCAGCCAGGGATACAGATACAGTGCGGCCCCCAGCCCAAAACTTTCGGACCGGCCTGCAAGCATGTGAACACATGTGAACCCTCTGTCCTCATCTCAGCATGTCGGGCCTGGGAAGGTTTGACCATCGAATCTTCATTGTGTGCCGGCTTCTCAGAAGATCAGGAAGAGCCGAAGTCGACCAAAGGCACCAGATTCGTGCTGGTCTATCTGCAGGGCCTTGCCAAAGCGACGAGGGTTGGAATGCGCGTCTCTTTCTGCTTCCGCTTGAGGCTCGGCACGTGGAGGTCGGTGGTGAACACTTGTTGCTGCAGGCAGGGCAGGAAAACATGTGTGTGTGTGTGTGTGTGTGCGCCATTCAGCCGATGAACAGCGCGATGCGATCCTGATCTCGTTTTATAGCAATGACTGTTAAAAAGGAAAGCTAAGTTGGTATGCCTGTGCGCACTTGCCACGGCAAGCGCAGGCAGCGCACACACGGGTGTTAAGTGCAAACCCTTCTTCAATCCGGCAGCGGGCAGTGCGTTTTCAGCGGTTACAGCGAGAGCCCCTGGCGTGGGCTGTGTTTACAGGAGCATGTGCCCAACGTGCAGCTGCATGTGGTTGCGTAGGCTCCGAAAGGGGGATAGGCTAGCAGCAGCAGGGCCGGTTGTCCTGCTGCCTGGCGGTGTTTGCATTGCGACCATTGGAAGCGGTAATGCACGCCTTAACATACTAGGTGTCGCTTATTGTTGTTTCTCTTCTTCATCCTTGTCACACCAAGACTGCATCGACAAGGCAACATGGCAATTGCCGCAACATCTCGCAAAATCCGAAACATGAACAAGTGTCGCACCGAGGAGCAACACAATGATTTTGGAAAAGCGGTACCGGTGAAATCCGGTGCTCATGGTCATGATAAGCGCAACTTTTTGTCACAGAAGGTTTAGCGTCGAGGTGCAGCTGTTAGAGTCAGAGAGGATCAGAGAGGACCGACTTGCAGGATCTCGCCAGCGTCGGTCGTGCGATTTGTCGGGGGCTCTGCACCAGAGTTCTCTGGCTCTCTCTGGCGAATTTTATAGCAAAACCCTTGCCCTCGAGAACTTCGAGCCTAAACGCTGAATCTTGAACTCATCGCGGGCGGTTCCGCACTTCTAAGGCCTTGCAGTGGCTGACCTCCTGAGTTCCACCGACGAGACAACCAATCAAGCTCCTCCCGAGACAACCGCGAAGGCCAGTATTTAGGGTCTCCGTTGACTGGTGATGCGATTCCAATGTAACGGGTCATGTGATGCTCTGGAGAGCAACAGCCATGAGAGGCGGCAGCCGTGTGCAGCCGCATCTTCGATAGTTAGGAGCCAATCGCAGGGTGATGTAAGGTGACCAAAGGCTGCTTGCGAGGGGGCGTTTTGCTCTTCGAAACCTGCACAACTGTGTCGTTCTGAAACTAAGTAACTAGTGCAAGAAGAGAAGATGTGAAGAGAGCCTCTTGACTCTTGCACTTTTCCAGCAGCCTGAGCTGCAAAGCCATTGCATGCCGATGCAGGTCCCGAACTCGATGTTCGCCGAAGGCGTCGTTGATGCCGAGGACTCTCCCGGTTGACGGCAGTAGATGGAGGGATGTGGCTTGCGGCAAAGAAGTCGTGATGTTATGGTCAGTGGTGTACGAGAAACATCAATGGTGCAGTAGTGCCGGTAGCACGAGAGCTCCGACGATGACTTGTCCACAAAATCGATTTAAGCATGTGGTCCAGCATCACTTGCAAGGACAGGTCAGATCTGGCAATTTTCTCATGCGTCCTTGGAAGAGACACAAGAATAGCTGAGCACGTAGATACAGCGTTCTGCGTGAACCCTGATCCCTGACCGCAATCTTAAACCCTACTCCTCAAGCCCAAACCCCAAAAAGCCCTAGCCCTAACCCTAACATCCCGACAGGACCATGATGAAGCCGATGAAGAAGCCATTTTAGAAGAAGAGCGCCGGCCCGACTCCTCGTAGCGTTTCTCCGGCATCTTGTGGCGATCTGGGCAGCAGAACCATGATCTTGGGGGTCAAGCGTGTCTGGGTTTATATGCTGTTAGGGTTTGGCATGTTGGGGTTTAGGGAGCCGTGCCCTTCAATCGCTCCGGGAGGCAGAGCATTTCCAGGCCCCGATCGCCTCATTTTGCTCTTCCGCCGCGTTCGTCGGTGGCCATCCTGCTAGATTCTAGATTTGCCATCCTGCTAGATTTGTGACGATAACTGATCATGGTGGGATCTTCGTCCTAGAATCGAGTGGCAGGTTTCCTGCCGCAAGGCCTGAACTCCTTGCCCCGCTGATTTATTACAGTTACTTACGGTTACCGACAGTTTAAAGTTACCTAAAGTTACCTAAAGCGACTAACTGGGAGGATGGCCTTCTTTGGACGGTTCCACTCGGACTGCTCTTCTCCAGGGTTTCAAAAAGGCAGAGCCCTGGCTCCATCCGCGAGCTCTCGATTTCTGAAAATCTACGTCTAAGAGGATTCTATACTTTAGGGTTTTGGGATTTGGGTTTAGGGTAGGAAGACAGGGCTCTGGCTTGCCTTCTGCGGTGGAGCAGCGTTTCATCTTGACAGCGCGCGCCGCCGCGCGCGTGCCTGCGTGCAGAAACTTGAGGTGGAGCTATCTTGGCCGAGCAGTCTACATGTCGTCGGTATCTTGCAGTGCAGCACGCTGCTAGGCGTGAAGACTGAGCCCTCTTTGTCTGCTCAAAGATGCATGTCTTTGTTGTGGAAGATTCTGCAAGGCATTCGACACATGAGCTTCGCTTTCATGAGCTTGCCTTCTAGATGTTCATCTTCCTGTTCTGATCCTTGCCAACCCGCTAGCTGGGCCAACGTCTCGATGGGAGACAGGCGCACCTTCCGAACCTTTGCGCAACATGTGCTGCATTGACTTTTGTGTTGCACTGCCTGAGAACACACTGCATTCGTGTTTGTGCCGTCAGTTCTCGAACGCTTCGCCCTTTTAACTGCCGATCTACTACTCCATCATGGCAATTGTGAAGCTGTTGGTCTTCGCATCATGCTGGCCAGTCCTGATACAGGCTGAAGCCGTTGAGGACGTGATGCCGGTCGGTGATGACGTCGACGACGAATGCGCTTCCCCAGGATGTGCGCTTCAAGCTTTGCAGTCGCGTGCCAAGACCGTTCGCAACCAGGCCACGGCGGACGCGACTTCTGACAAATATGCGAGCGTCCCGGGGGTCGGCGATGATGGCTGGGACGACTTCCTGCCTGATCCGGATGATAGTGGTGACGAAGAGGACGACAGCCTTCCTGATGAAGAAGGGCCTAGTGGTCCTGGTCTGTGTGGCACCGAGACTTACGACCACTCAAAGGAAGGATGCTGCGGGAGTGAGCTGTACGACCTGACGACGCAGAGCTGCTGTGGCAGTGACATCTTTGACATCAAAGATGAGGATTGCTGCAATGAGACCACAGTCTACAACACCACCAAGCAAGGCTGCTGCAATCACAAGCATGTCTTCAATCTCGGCGAAGAGCACCTGGACCGCAGTAAGCAGCACTTCCTCGCGGTTCGTTACTTTAGGATGCTTATGCTGCTCTTTGCCCGGTACTAAGGTACCTCACCTTCGGGCTCAAGTGCATTGCCCCTGCGAAGCCCCCATGGAACACGCAGTTCGACTGCACCGATGAGTGGCCCCCCAAGAGCTATGCTGAGACCTGGAGCCGTTACTGTGCTGCGAAGAGGCGAGGATATCACATGGCGTGGGCAATGACCCGCTCCTGCGAGGTGGGCTGGCTCTCCGTCATCCAACGGACGCAGGAAGATGCGAAAATGAAGAGCAAGTCGCAATGCCAGTCGAGATCTAACCAGTACAAGAAGGAGACCTGCTACATCTTTGACTTCGATGGCAAGGCCTGCCATCGTCAGCGCTGCGGCAACACGCTCTACGATGCCACAATGATGGGCTGCTGCAACGGGGAGGTGTTCGACTCGCGGACTCACGCCTGTTGTGAGGGCACCGTCTACGAAACCAAGACGACCGGATGTTGCAACGGCAAGGTGTACCACAAAGAGCCGCGCAGGTGCTGCGGTGGGAAGCATCTCTTCAACAGCAACACGCATGGTTGCTGCTTGGAGAAAGGACCCCAAGTGTTCCGCTTTGGAAAGCAGAACTGCTGCGCTGCCCCCAGAGGCATCTGCAAGATTCCCACAGGTATCGAATCCTGTTGCAAGAAGGAAGGGAGGTTCCAAAAGTATTGAACCTCAAGGCAGTGAGCACTGATGAGCACTGCCCCCCCAACCAGTCTTGCTATAAAACGTGGCGACTGGTAGATTCTAGATTCTTGACTTGAGCACCGCTCGACTGAAAGAGGAGTGGAGATTCGGGAAGTGCTTACGTCAAGCCGAGCTGCGAACGACATATCTCTTCAGAACGCGCCTGCCAAGCAGGTGCCACGTCGGAGCCGCGGCGCAGGCCGGAATGCGTCTAACTGAGGCCGTTGGAGCTGCCAGCTTGGATGAAAGCTGGGCCACTTTGGGATCCTGCAACTTTGGCTCCATGTTAGAATCCACGCACCTCAAACTCATGAAGGACTGTACAATGCAAAGAGCTCCCTTTCAACCCGAAGCGTTCCCAAGCTCCAGCCCCTAAACTTTGCCCACAGACCTACAGGCCTCCGATGGCCTCTCGAGGGCCAAGCTTCCCTCGTCTTCTGCGAGAGCGGAGGTGCCTGCCTTAACGCGGCTGCCGTGTAGGGTCTACGAGTGGCTAGAGCCAGGGATTTCCAAGGCTGCTTTTTGTATCCCGCTTTATTCCTCGTTTCGCTAGGTGAATAGGCCAGTACTATTAACTATTACCACTAGGATCATTACTATAACTGCTATTACCATTATTACTACTATAAAAAGAGTTAGTGGGAGTTTTTGAAGCACTTAGTATTCACTCTCGCAAAGACACCTCTCCGACTCCCCGAGGTCCCCGGCAACTCCCAGGCATTCCCGAAACCTCCGCGGGAGGTAGTGTTTAGTATGAGGCTTGTTCCTCGCAAGAAACCCTTTCAGGGCAGACGCTGCTACTGCTGCTGCTGCTGCTGCTGCTGCTGCTGCTGCTGCTGCTTCTACTACTACTACTACTACTACTACTACTACTACTACGGCTACTACTACCACTACCACTACCAC